TAGATTTAAAATAGAAAAGAGAAAAAAGAAAAGACATACACATAGGGAAATTGTTTAAAGTAATAGAWTAATTATAAAACAATTTGCTTATATATCTATAATTAAGATAATCCCTTAGACGTTAATATCAAGTAGAATTAATTTATCTCAAATAATAGATGGAATAAAAGATATAGAAAATTTATAATAAGTTGCAATAGAAATATTATCTTTTATTTTACTATACCTCTTTTAACTTTATATTTGATTTATCTAGTGTTGTAAAGAAACGAAGATTATTATATTTCTAAATCCAAATGGAAAAAAAAGAAAAAAAAGAAAAAAAGAAAAAAAGAAAATACATACAATAAAATACATTTGMCTTAACAAACATAGTACAACGCGATTTTGTCTTATAATTAGAAATATTTGTTTTAATTCAATATAAAGAATGAATGAAATGAAGATATTGCAAAAAACATGCATTAAATTGATAGCATTATTTATTTMAATTTTATTTTATTACTTGAAAWTAAAAGTGCGAYTTGTTATTACGTCATYGATTATTGGATGCTACATTTGGCAAATTGATTAACTTCATAACACARGAAGTTGAGAAAAAGRATGAGTAGTAAATATATATAATTWTTTTTTATATAAAGWGTCGTGATTKTCATAAKAAATAAACYAAATAAGTTTCTCTATAAAATAAGAGATTAATATTATAACTRATATTATTATTTACAATATTTATGCAAAATTTACAAGTTTTCCGTAAATAAGAGACGAAAATTAAGGTCAATTATTCGTCTCTTCTTCACAAGTCTGTTTTAATCATTTATCTTGTTTATAACAACTAATTATCCTTATGTAATTTTTATCTTATTACTTGTTTTCTCYTATAATTCTTTTATCTATCTCTCTTTCTCTATCTTCCTTTACCTAGCTGTCGATTACTCTCATCGTTCTCAATTAATTTAATAATGGACAAGACATCTAGCAGGTTTCATAGAAGCGCGCGGAGCATATTAAGCGTGTTAAATTAAAAAAAAATCAAATTCTCTTAACATATATGTGTATATATATCAGATTTAGGAATCAGTCGTTGACCAGTTAAGGGTTCATTCTGGTTTATAATTTTGAAAAAATTAATTTTTTTTTTTTGCATTTTTCGAAAGTAGACATATGTAGAATTATCATACAAAAATTTTAGAACGATCCGAACAGTCTAAGTATATTATTTTGCGACTCAAACACAGAGANTATAAAATAAGAGATTAATATTATAACTAATATTATTATTTACAATATTTATGCAAAATTTACAAGTTTTCCGTAAATAAGAGACGAAAATTAAGATCAATTATTCGCCTCTTCTTCACAAGTCTGTTTTAATCATTTATATGGCTTATAACAACTAATTATCCTTATGTTATTTTTATCTCATTACTTGTTTTCTCTTATAATTCTTTTATCTATCTCTCTTTTTCTATCTTACTTTACCTAGCTGTCGATTACTCTCATCGTTCTCAATTAATTTAATAATGGACGAGAGATCTAGCAGGTTTCATAGAAACGCGCGGAGCATATTAAGCGTGTTAAATTTAAAAAAAAAAAACAAATTCTTTATAAATATATGTGTATATATATAAGATTTAGGAATCAGTCGTTGACCAGGTAAGACAAATGTTTATCTGAAAAAGTGGTAAATTCTTACATTTTTATATCTGATTTTCATAAAAACGATATTTTATATTTATTTAGTTTACGTCGAATKATATTTTCCTCGGTAGACATCCTACGATTTTTATGTCTATCTATGGCTATCGCATTCAGCATTCCATTTTTATTGCTTGAATTTGGAAAAGTTTCGTTTTTATCAGGAATTCCACTCCGAGATAATGCTAGTGCCCTTTCTTATTTATGGTAACAATATTATAATAAATAGATACTACAATTATCTTATTCTTGATGCAGTTTATTCGTCTCATTCTCTCGAAACTTAGTTTTTTGAAGGTTTCACTTCTAACACGAGTGATCTGTACACATGATTTTTTTTTGTCTAAATAGATTTATCTTAATTACTAATTTAATCATCAGTAGGCGATAATASGATTTARCACTGTATTCATTGATAATAWTTTACCGTTCTTTGATAATAACTTACCGTTCCTTGATAATATYTTACYATCACCAAGTAARGTACCTACCATYGATCWCTAGTTRTCYCGGYGGTAGCTAACCATCGGATGGTARGGTWGGAACCCCTGCGATATTTATKGAATTTTWCACACTTGTAGTAGTCTATRAAAAYATTGATAGACTATAAAAGGAAAGAAAATAAAAATACTTYTTACTGTCGAGWTAAGATTTAGGTATTAGCAACTTCATTGACACATCAGTGATGCTMTTTTAGATAATTATACTAGTTTAAAGCTAAAAGAAGAATACGTATCTACGTGAGATTACAATCCACGTTGTTTAGCAAAGGGCTGAACATATATATATATATATATCAAGTCTAAAGGAACAATGAAACTTTTAAGGATCTACTACAAGTGTGAAAAATTTAAAAAAATATCAAAGTGCGGTCTACGCGAGCATCCTCAAGTAAGATAAAATTTTTTACAGAATAAGTGGCAAGAATCATTTAAGTTCTTCTGTATTCTTCGCARGTAGAGTTTCTGCTGCCTGTAATTTCCGCATAAGGGGTAGATAGGGCTACAGTCGTGCTTTACGACGAAGACATGAAAAAGGTTATTTAATTCAACCACACAATAATAC